TATATTTAAATGATTTAATTAAGTTTTAAATATACCATAAATTTAAGTACTTGTTCTTATTAGATTTGTTTATTTACTATTCAATATTATTTAATTATAATTTTGTTTGATTTTTTTAAAAATGGTATGTGATAGTTTTATGTAATAGTTATCCTCCTACTTGAATTTCCAAATTAATTTTCTTTTTCAATTTCCTTTAACTTATGAATCAACTCATTTATTTCCTATTTAAGATTTGTTTTTTGGTTAAATATATTTTTTGTCCTTCCACTATAAAATATTTTTGGGTCTAGTCTCTCTTCCAAAGCTTCATTTTCATCTTTTTCCATAATGAAACTATAATATTTAGTAATCGAAAACCCACGTGAGTGGTTAAAGATGTGTCATGTTTCATGCCATGCATACTTCTTCTTCAGCACAAGCTCCCCTGGATCGCCACTTGGTTTGCATTCATTGACTTTACCAAGCTCCCACTAAAGTACTCCTTCTCATCTTCTTACAAATTCACCAACACCAATTGAAACAGGTTATGTCCTTTACGACGACGAGAACGCGAGAGAACAGCAACGCTCATGGATTTGAATGTGGTTATGTGATTTTGTTTCCACAGGTCTGTGTTTCAGGTTATGGCGAACTCGTGATAATATATGGATTTTTATGACGAAGGCTTTCTTTGGTTCGTCATAAGATTTGAAAACGATGGTGGTTGTTGCGAGATTATGAGAGAGATCATGATTATTTGTTTCGTGATTTGGGGACATTACAATTAAGGTGTGCTGAAGTAAAAATCTTTTTATGCGTTAAATATGATTGGAGGAGATAACCCAAAAAATAAGATCGAGAGATTACAAACTTATTTATCTCTAATTTTTTTTTATCTCTTCTAACTCTTTAAACAACTTATTTATTTCATACCTAAAATTAAGTTAATCAATGAATTAGATGAGATTGAAAAAAGAGAAAAAAATTGATCCACAAATTAAAACCAGAAAAACGAAATAATACGTCATTCCAAACATCAAATTCTAAAAGATTTAAAAAAATATATAATAGAACAAAAGATTCATATAAAAATTTAATCTAAAAATATTTTAATTTATAATTTTCATAAAACTTAATTAAATATGTTAATTATAAGATTTTGTTTTATATTTATTTCTCTAAATATGTCATTCTTTATTCAATGTTGCCTTTTATTTTTGGTCTACGTAAATATGTTATTTTTTATTTTAATTTTCACTCCGCTCCGGTGCAGATTCAATGTAGCGGGTTGGGCCGGATACGAAGAAACTTCCCTCAATACGGTACCGTTTCGTCCCAGGTTACATTCTTTCCCTTCTTTTGCTCTGTTCAAAGACACTCCAAGTAACGGTGGCGACGATCGGTGGTGACGGCGGCGGAACCCTGTTCAGTGACCAACCACGTAATCTGTTATTATTTATTCTTTTGATTACTTCGTCTGGTTCCTCGTTTCGTTACGCACGCTATTCTCCAATATTTTCGAATGACCGAATATAAAATTCCGCTAATAGGAAATAATCTCGTGCAATTCGTGTGGTTTATCTTTTAAGCTTTTCAATCTTACTAAAGTGTTTTCCTCGGTGCAGAGTGATAGAGAAAATGGCGTTCAGAGGAAAAGAAATGATGAAGAAAATTCTGAAGACGGTGGGAGAGAATGGTTTGAATAAAAGAGATAAGGAAACGTTGGAGAAATGCATGCCTCGAAGCAAGGTTGTGATGAATCGCGCCAAACGTGGTCTCTTTGCCGGGCGACACATTCAGTTTGGAAATTGTGTCAGTGAAGATGGCGGTAACAAGTTTGTATCCACTTCTCCGTATATTTTTTTTATTTTGGTGTTAGTTTCTTCTGGTACGAGTCATAACGAAAAGTTTCATGTTGTAGCTTCTGGTGTTAGATCTATGTTTGCGGTTTCTTTTGTTTTATAACTGTGTTAAGTTACTTTTTGAAATGGAGTTAGTTGAATAATATGGATTGAATGGTGATGGGCTCATTATGGTCCCAATTTCTTTCAGCTCAAAGGCCAACGTGTAGTTAATTTTTCTCTAACTCTATCAATTTCTGAGCATATTTTCCCCCATTGAAGTAATAAATTATACATTTCACGTTGTAATGGGAACTCTATGGAAGAGGGGATAGCTCCAGTTGAAGAAGTCAAATGTAATACTTAGAGTTGTTCTTGGTTGATGTTTTGGATGAAGCTATTTGTAGGTAAAAGAATAGAACAATTTGAAGGGGTGAAGAGATTGAGGGATAAAGAGGATAAGGTATCCTAATTAGATTAACTACAAAAGCTAAAGCATTGATACAAATGCAGCTTTCCAGAACTTTTCTAGTTTCAATCCCTCAAAGGATGTAAGATCCTCACAATCTGCAACGAAGTAGAGCCGTGAAAATATTCCTGCCCTGAAAATCTGACTGCCTAAAACCTTCTCCACAAACGACCTTGGGTTTCTCTTTAACTAGAGCACCACAGAACAGTGTATGAAGTACACTGTTGCTATATTTTGTTCAACTTGTTCCTGACAAATCCTCTGCAGCTGGAACTATAAGAATTGCTCCAATATCTGTCTCCATCAATGTTTCCCCAAGAACTACCGAAATACATGTTCAGAAACATAATTGGCTGTTGTGCAATGTAAAACTTACTGTGCATTTTAGTAACTGGTTAGTCAACTTTTTTGCATCCATCATGATGAGCGTTTTGTTAATTCTATGCCTATGATTATGCCTGTTGTTTATAATCCTTAAGTAAGTACTATGACAGTGGTCAATGCTATTAATTCCGAGCTATATTGCTTGCATGAAGACTGGAATTGTTTTTCCAATCCTCTATCCTTTGCATGGGAGGCCAGCTTCCTTGCATCCCCCAGCTCAGTGGGTAGCTGTTTTTTCTAGAAGAGGGATTCTCTAGACTAGGCTCTCTGTTTTTCCTTATTTCTCTGTTTTTATGCTTCCATTGCATAACCCCTTTGTTAAAATTTTCAACAGTATAAATAAAGGATAACGTTCTGGATTAAAAAATGTGAGAGTAACGAGCTAATCATCTTTGGATTCCTAAAAGTTGGATGGGTAAAGAGAGATGATTGATTTGCAAGTTGCCTCTGCACTTGTTTAGTACTGGAATCTGATGCATGTTAAATTGCCGAAATTCCATTTTCCATGGAGGCGGGTTGCAATCATTAATTTAAGCTGTCAATTTCTTGGACTCTCCATGGATCCAACATGGGCAAAGCTTTCTTTGTCGACCCTTTTTTCAGTGATTATAATTCTGATTGAGTTCTATAATGTACTGATTATTTACCTGTTCCAGTCATTGTTTATATCAACTACCATTGTTGAAAACTTGGTCTACAAAATTCTTTAGTCTGAGATGTTAAATAATGAAATTAGTGATTTCTTGATGGTCAACACTAATTATGTTTGGAACTATATGTCCTGTTAACAGTTGCTAATATTTGCCACACCAAATATGGAATGCAAAAGTTCTTTTTGTAGTATGTGCAATATCTCCCGCACGATAGTTATGGGTTCAATCTCTTTGTTGTTTGTTGGTTGTACACTTTTATGTTAGTAAGTTCTTTTACCATTTAAATATGTTAGAGAGAATGAAGTATTGATGTTCTTTCTCTAATGCTTTTGACAGGACAAGGAGAACTTGGAAACCGAATGTGCAGGAAAAGCGGCTCTTCAGCTACATCCTAGATCGTCACGTTCGTGTTAAAGTGACCACACATGCCATCCGATGCATAGACAAGGCAGGTGGGATTGATGAGTACTTGCTGAAAACTCCTTATCACAAGATGGACACTGAAATGGGCATTCTCTGGAAGGCAAAAATTGAGAAATTGTATGAAGAGCTTGGCCAAAAGGAGGTTGTATTCTTTTCACCTGAGGCTGAAGCGAAGTTTGAGCAGGACTTTAAAGATTTGAAACTGTCTGAAAGGGAAGCACGAAAGGAGGTTAGAAGAAAGATGTACACTGGGATGAGCAAGCACGAACGGGTTCCTATTTCGTATATCTTAGCTTCTGACAAGCTCAAAGCTGGAAGCGTTGTTTCTAATTAATGTATGTTGTGTCAACTGATACTTGCGGTGTAAGCTTTATTAGCTCAGAGTGTGAAAAATCTGTTATTTGATTTTTGCATCATAGTGGTTTCTTCAGAGATTCTTGTTGAAAAGCTATAAACTTTGGGTAGTGAAAATCATAATCTATTATGTCAAAATAATAATATAGTTCTATTTTTCTAGCGAGACTGTATTTCCCGAGGTGCAACTAGGTAGAAATCAATACAAAGGGTAGTGTTCTCACGTTATTTCTTGCTTTTCATTTTTCACATTTTGAGACCTTCTGATCTGTGCTGCATACTTGCAATGTACCAAAGTCAGGTTGGATATTGATAGGAGCTTGGATTTAGAACAGAATTAATGGAGACTGGTTCTTAAGGAGAACCTCTAGGTTTTGAGCGATCTGAACACCCATTATATGTATGTCATTTCACTACCTAATTCACAACCAAAAAATGGAGTTTCCTGCTGCAGCTTCCATTTTATTAACACTGTTTTCATATACCGCAAGAAATTGTAGTTAATATGCTTATAAGACCAGTACAATTATATATAGGCATAGTTTTTCCGTAATGTTGTTTGATTCCCAGGTTTCCCCCTTTTACTTCTGCTCGATGTTTCAGTCTAACTTTCTTTCTGCCTTTTGTAGTGGTAAACTAGTGGTTAATAACACCCCTCTGCTAAAGGACCATCTTTTGAAATATGTGGTATAACTGAAAAACTTTTTATCTTCATTCCGTTGTTAGATATATAGCAACAATGTTATAAATAAATAGCTTTTTTTTTCCTTTGAAAATTGAAAGGATGAAGACTATCTTTACAGTGATGTTCCAAATAAAAACCAACTTTCTATTTTATACAAGATGAGAATGTAATAGATAGCTGCCAAATAATTGACATTCGGTTACAACTTACAACAACAGTGTACTTTTATGCATGAATACAATAATGCCTACTGTAAACCTACCCAGGCGTTTACCACAAGCTCTGGTAAAATACCAAGCTTTTCTTATGGAAGGCTTTCACCATTATTGATGCAGGTAACAATAACATTAGAGAGTCTGCATTATGATATCTAGCCTTCTTTGATGTTTAAATCATTGCTTTTAGGTCCCATCGTTTCTTTACTACCATTGTATGCAGGACAGACAGGAGCAAATTGACAGTAACCACATTTCCAGCGTTCATCTTCAGGAGGGTAAGTTGCTTCTTGTTCTCCAAGCCAAAACTCAAGACACGAGCGAATTTGATTCGTTAGCCAGTCATGATCATATGTGAATTTATCTTCACCAAGCAATGAATGATCTTTCTGATACTCATATCTGACATAGAGCACACACAACCATAGAATAAGGGCTCATGTAGTGCAAACAAACTGCTAGTCATTCTGACTGGCAAATTTATTAACATTATGATCTATAACTATTTCTTGCCTTTCAAAATTTGGGTCAAACTTTCAAGCTTTTTACTCAAAATGTGTGTGCATGTATGTGATTAGGTGAGTCAGTAAGTAGTACACTTCTTCAGAAATTTAAATTGAATAGGGGTTAATATTATAAACATTCCACTTAAAAATCATATTTATTGAAAGCTATCACGAGTTGGCTCAGAGATGCATACCTCAACAAGAGCTGATCATGAGCAGGGGCCAGCATCCTACATGTATTTCTGTAATATCTTACCACATCATCCAAAGTCTGCATTTTCCAATAACGAAATAAGGAAAGAAAATTATGTAAAAGCCATGCCGCAACTGCTAATTAGCTGAAACTTTTATAGCAGAAATCATAATGTAAAAAATCACCTACCGATTGTGGATAAAACAAAATACTAAATGTAAAACTTCTATAGCAGAATATTTTCATAGTGTAAAAAAATCAATTTTTGATTGCGGATGAAAACTACAAACTCAATGGAAAAAAATTTTATAATATAATCAAGCACTTACCGAAGCAGAAAATCCAGAGTCAGCACTTGTCACTTTTAGATCTTCACATAGATTATGTTGAGGGTTTAAGCCAAAATAAGTGAAAAAAATATTAGATGGAAAATTATCAGCAACCAAATTGTCCCACAAATACTTGTAGCACATCAATTGAAGCCTGCCAAAATTAAGAACATAGTAAAGATTCAATCCAATGCAATGGGATTCAATTTCACATCCAAGAGAATGAAATAAAATGGTAGAAGAATAATCAAACCTTCCATTTCTTCGTTGCGGTTCAGCAGGAAGCGTATCTCGGGCGCGAGTCTTTGTGTCAATTAGTATTGGATTATGATCATTTTGTTTTAATGGCATCCGAATCTCATCAATGACTCCCACCATCCATATATCTTCTGCAAAGCCTATTCTGATATCAGAAGAGTAGTCCATCATCATCACAACTGCTCCAAATCCCACCAATGAAGGGTTGAGCAAATTTCAAGTAAATTCTAAACTGTAACCAGTAACATTAAAAAAAATTATTTGCTATAAAATATGATACCAGATCTTAATAAACTGTAACGAGTAGATTAAAAACTTTATTGGCTACAAAATGTGACAATAGATTCGCCGGTTTAATGCATTTAAACAAATAAAAGTTGGAGCATCATCATTGACTGCATAAATAAATAAATACTAACAACTTAAAGAGATTTCATAAGGAACCTACACCAACTTTTCTCTTGTATGTAACTGCTGAAAGAGTAAAAAGATGTTTCAAATTCTAAGTCCAAGAAGATAACCAGTGATTAGACAAGTAATTTCCTACCTTTTTAGAGACTTGGCAATCAGTTAAAAGCTGTAAAACAACTACTTTTCTTTCAAAAAAAGTTATAATATTTCTAATAAACTCTCAAAACAATTCATAGTTTAGTGATTCTTCTATCACTTACAAATTGGCAGTGGATGTAGTTCATAACAATCACTACAATAGGTTCGATCCAACATATGCCATTATCCAAATTTAAGTCCTCTCAGGGAGAGGTACACTAAAGTTATGTTAGAAAAGAACACTTTCACAAGCTTTGTGAAAACCGATGAGAACATGAAGATTTACTCATAAAATGTCATCAACTTACACTGGCAGTTCACGAGTCATTCCTTCAAATAATAGTTGATTAACACCATTTATAAAATTAAGAAACTTCAGGGCCCACAAATCTTCTTGATATTTGATCTTCACTTCCACCCGTTTCAAAACCTGCACTAGACAAATTATTGGAAGAAGCACTTGAGGTTTAAACACCAGAAATACAAAAACACGATACAGTTATAGAGTGAGCACATAATGCCTGCTAAATATAACTGATAAAAAGATATAGATAACATCGAAACAATACTTATCTGATGGACACGTGCTCATGCAAGAAATGCTCACAAAATACAGAATATCATATCAGATGATGGAATGCTCCTAACAGTGTCAACAAATTTCAACTACGCAAAAACTTAGGAGAACATCCAACAGATGTGGATACATCTCACCACCAGGCTTCAACTTTGAGGTTTTTTATCACTAAAAATAAAACCTGACTAAGAATTAAATTGATTAAAATATTTTTCTAGAATTTAATCAGAATACATATCAGTGTAAAAAAGTTTTTTTACAAAGAAGAAAAAAACATTTTTGCATTCACAGTGCAGACTTTTTATACCGTGATCCAATCATGACTGTCATGTATGATACGGTTTTGTATCAAGAGTTTAAAAGGCATATCCTGCCAAGAAAAATTTTTATAGACAATTTTGGTTTGACTTTTAAGGTAAGGTGTAATTAGATGTTTGTGCAGTGTTTTAACATATGACTAACTAAAAATACATGTAAATATCTTTACACTTGAAGTGCACATATCATGCTAAAATTCTTCAATTTGAGTTGGGTTATGTATGTGTCAGAATAATTTGAGTTGGGTTATCTATCAATTAAATTTACAACAATTAATTTATAATTTTTTATTTTGACATCATTTAATACATATTATTTCGTTTAATGCATATTATTTTAATTTGGATTTACTTCATTTTTTTAATTATTTTACTATTTTCAAAATAAATATATGGGTGGATCATGTTCGTAGGTATTTTCACATATAATTATAAATCTTAACGTCCAATTGGATTGACTTTCCATAAATATTTACAGAACAAGAAAAATATATAAAAATGAATATATTCCTGCACATAACTTAAAAAGTAAGATTTATGACAAGCTAAATACTAAAGTTTATACAAATTATCCCAGATTTAGAATGATAATTTCAGGGAGGAAATTATTTCTTTTTTTTTTTGTTCTTTTACAAAGAAGCATAGCACAGAACATGCCCTTGAATTACATTGAGAAGTAAAAGAGGAGCATGTAACGTAAGAAGATGAAGCAAGAAGTTGAATGAATGATGAAAAAAACAAGATATGATATGACCTCTTGTTCAAGCTTCGCATGGCGAGCGATGCCTGCTCTCATTGCTTGATTAACCTTTCTCCCTCCAAGAAGCAGAGAAAACTCCATTTGTTTCGGACACCATTCCTATCACACAACATTCAATAATAAATACACACTAACCCAATTTCCTCAAAACACACAAAATTCATGATAGCCAAAACCCAATTAGAAAACACGAAAATTGATACCGTAGAAGTAATATCCGTTACGGACAAACCCCGTCTGTTCCTGAAGCGGCGAAGAAAGGAATCAGGAAGAGTGTGATTTCTCTTGCGAGGGGGTAAGTCCTCAATATCACTGCCACTCGATAAGCTTCTTTTGGACACGACGGTAATGGATAAAGCATTATTGTGAAGGGGTGATTTTGAAGGGGACGAAGAACAAGAAGAAGAACGAATTGCGGAGCAAGTACGAGTGGAAGCGAAGGCCAAAGCAGCTTCAATGAAAGCCATTTCGTCGTCGCTGATAATTTCGATGGGAATATGATTTGGATTCTGATCCTCCGAGGAAGATGATGTTTCAGCCATGTTAGTGTCGTGACCGTTCAAAACGCCGCGTTTTGGGGTTCCGATTGCTTCGCTTCTTGTTCAACTTTCGCACAAGATTTAAGCTTTCACGTAACGTATCTCTTGCTCTTTCACTAAATAAAAATACCAACTTTTTTTTTATTAAATTGTAAAGAATCTGACCTTTATAATGTGTAATAGTTAACTTCATAAAATAATTCTGTATAAAAATATAACATATTCAAAAATTGTCTTCAACTTCTTAAATCTAATGTTCAAATATTTCAAAGACCAAATTCAGTTATAAAAAATGTTTAAATATTACACGTATTGTTTTTAATTTAAAAGGTTAAAATGAATATTTAAACTTGAAAAACTAAAAATGAATTTTTAAATTTAAAAGGCTAGATCCTTATTTTTACATAGGTTTAATTGCTTGTTTTGTCCCTAGTTTGGCTGTAACGTGTCAAGTTAGTCCACACTTTTAAGAAAGTTTCAATTACGTCCAAACTTGGTTTAAAAGTGTCAATTTCGTCCAAACGTAGTAAAATTTGCTTCAATCAAGTCCCTTCCGTTAAATCCACATAAACGGACGTTAATTCTTTTTCTCTCTCCTCTGTTGCTCTGCTCCTCTCCTCTGCTCCTCTCCTCTGCTCCTCTGCACAACAGCAGACCCTCTCATCCTTTTGAATATAATCCAAGCACCAAAATGATAAAAAAAAAGGAAAAGTATAATCCTACATTAACATGTCAGGAAATTTTCACTCAGTCCTAGCTAGCATGATTTAAAAAATTACAAGAAAATAAAAGTGAAGTATCATGTTAAGTAACGGCTAGCCATGCCCATGAATGGAATTTATACAAATTCATGCAGTAGAATACCATTCTGCAATCTCAGCCGAAAGATGGTGATTTGGTAAAATAATCACTGATTAATCAGAGTACTTCTAAAAATCATCACAGATTATTAATCAGAGTACTTCTAAAAATCATCACAGATTTTATTAATCAGAGTACTTCTAAAAATCATCACAGATTATTAATCAGAGTACTTCTAAAAATCATCACAGATTGCAGAGCAATATTAGACTCTAGCTTAAAACGACAACAATATTTAGGGAAAACAAGTTATCAGGATTAGGCAAACGTGGCCTGAAAGTACAAAAAAACATCCTTAAAGAATAATGTGAAAAATAATATTAGCTATAAAGTAAAAAAAAAAACTGCAGAGAGATCAGATAGTAGTGCATGATTAGGAATCATCGTTCATGTTGCAGAATTGATGTATAAATAACATCATATATCACTGCATTTAAAAATAAACTTATTAAACTTAAATAATAAACAATGGCATAGAGAAAGTGCTTCAGAAAAATAGAAAGAGAGGGTCTGCTGTTGTGCAGAGGAGCAGAGCAAAAGAGGAGAGAGAAAAAGAATTAACGTCCGTTTATGTGGATTTAACGGAAGGGACTTGATTGAAGCAAATTTTACTACGTTTAGACGAAATTGACACTTTTAAACCAAGTTTGGACGTAATTGAAACTTTCTTAAAAGTGTGGACTAACTTGACACGTTACAGCCAAACTAGGGACAAAACAAGCAATTAAACCTTTTACATAATTGTTCTAATTAGATTCCTTACAGTAAAATTGGACTAACAATTTAAAATATTATTTACGTGGTACGGTGATATTAGTTTTTTAAATGACATGACAAATTGTCAGATAGTTATAGACGTGAATTTTTGTTTTTTTTTTAAATTAAAAAATTGAGAAAAATTAATTAAACTTAATTGTTTCAAAAAAATTAGGGATTTCCACATGCTATAGCCATCATCTTCATCACCCTCACAATTAGAATTGCAAAACCTCATAAAACTAGGAAGCCATTATCTATATACCTATATATTATCATTTAAATCACACTTTTCTAAAACTAATATAATTGTCAAATTTTACATTTAAAAACTTATTTAAAAAAATGAATTTAAGACAAAAGCACAACACAATACATTATAGAACTAATTGGTTTATTGGTTAAAAAAATGTACATGATATAGTGACTGTTAGATATATTATATCTTTTATCTTTTAGTTAGTTTGTTATTATTTCTCATTTGTATTTTGGACTTAGCCCATATTTCTTCTATTATAAATAGAGAACCCTATGTGTGTATTTAACACAAGGGAGATTAATTTAAGGCATAATACCCAATTTTGTCCCTACTTTGGTTCGGAAATCTCAAGTTAGTCCCTTTATAGAAAAGTGAGTTTAATGGATCCTTACTTGTAATTAATTGACTCTAATGAGTCCCTTCCGTTAAATAGAAGGAAACAGAGTTAGTGGACTGATGATGTGGCAGTTGTCTTTGGTGAGGTGTCAATACGCAATTGACATAGTGCTTACGTGGTGTTAGGGTTCCCCATTTTCAAATTGGGTATTATGCCTATTAAAAATTGGGGATAAAGGATTTGGGGCTCATTTGTTCGAGACTAGGGCATGTCCGAGAAAGAAGACAGAGGCAGGCAGTGATCGTTGTCGCTTCCGGACCAGTGGTGGTTCGCGGTTGGCGACTTCTTCTTCGTTGTCAGTGGTTGTCTCTGTTTGGGGTTCG